ATATATATATATATATATATATATATATATATATATATATATCTCTTTGAGTACAAGGATAGAGTTATGAAATATCAACATTGTGAAGTCTCAAGCTTGCATGTCATGGATGGATTTCTCAACGGCACCCCAACGGTGACTTAAACCGATGGAACACCAAAGTCAATGCTAGCAACGGTACGACATCGTTTGGTTAGCATGATGGATTCTCAATGATGTGACTAATGGATGAGGAAAAGGAGAATTAAGTGTAGGATTATGGTAGTCAAGATTTAGAAAATTGATTAGTTTGCAATAATCATAATTTTGGAGTAGAAAAGAGATTTCAAGAAACAACACATCTGTCTACTCTTAACTTGTAATTTTCTAAATATTCTTAGGATTAATGTTGTGAAAAAATTACAAAAATTACATGATATATCAAATATAAATTTGATTAGGATTAATGTTGGAATTATGTATAATTTATGATTACAGTGGTTTTTGTATATTAAAAGGATTTCCTAACATCTCAAGTCACTGAAGGAATTGGTGAACATGTAGAAGGGGTGTGACAATAATATTAGATCAATTACCTTAAAATAACCCAACATAATATCCCAATAGGGCTGTTTAATTTTGAGTTAAGCAAATTGTCTCCAAGCTAAATGTGTTATTTGTTATCTTAGATAGATACATGACACTTGTCATGATAAAGCTTATAATATAAGAATACATATAATTGTACGGATTTTACATATATAGTCTTCTCATATGAAGAATCAAAATGATTTGACACATCTTCTATAAAATCCATAATAGTCACACATGCCTTCCCATCAGTCTTTTTGTTATAACCTCACATATTTCAGTTTTGTTGGATTAATTATACGAATTTTTTTGGTCAATGAGCAGTGTATAATACAATATTTCTAATTATTTGAAATAATAAAGTTTTCTTATATTTATCCTTACTCATAGTAATAATTCTAATTGGCTCAACTCATTCAACTATTACATTTTTTTGAAATGAATTTTCTCATAATTGTATCCATTATTACAATCATTTATAGTTATTCAAAAATATAAGTATTTTTTCGTTCAATTTTTTTAAAAGAAATCCATGGAGAACCAACAAATTTGCATAGCACATATTATTATTATTTTTCTTTTTTAAAAAATTATTATCATTTTCATAAAATAGAAATTTATTACTTCAAAATCCTATAATAATCAATCCCTTGCTTATAAAGAAATAGAAGGGAGCATGTACCTTCGGACTAATGATTTATTCATTCAAAATTAAAACATATTAATTTCAACAAAATTGACCAACTAGTTAGTATATGCATAATATAATATTTACTATAATGATACAAAATATACAAGACATCTTTTATTATATTAAGTAATTTTTAAGATAGATTGTTTTTCTTTTGAGGATGTTTATGATCGCGAACCAATCTCGACAACATACTATTTTATATGGGTTAATTATAAATTATTTTTTTTATAATTAAATATTTTTAATATTTTAATATTTATATTTTTAAAAATTATATTAAAATTCTTATAATATGAAAGTAAAATATTTAATCATGTTTCTCCTCACGTTGTCGACTCTATTGACAAAAATACCATAGGATTATTATTGTTCACTTCAATTTATTACTAAGCATATTTACGTCAACAGAATCGATGACACGAGAAGAAATATGATTAAATATTTTATTTTAATAAATATAAAGATATTGATATAATTTAAAAATTATAAGAATAGAATATTATTGATAATTAATTAAAAAAATAATATATAATTTCTAATGGGAACAACATTTTATCCGCTTCAGACTTTTTTGAGTTCAACCTTAGTTTCTACTCACAAAAGTAGTACTATAAAAAATAAAAATAATAAAAACAAGTGTCTGTCGTTTCTATCCTTCTCCTCATCCCAACTTTTTATTCCTCAGCCACCGAAAAGGGCGAGTTATGCTCCAAAAGGAGGTTTATACCATGGAAACCACGACCGCCCGCAACAACCCCTCCCGTTATCCACCAATCAGGTGCTCCCTTCTTCCCCCGAACCGTCGCCCAACAAGCCTCACCCACCACTCCCCTCTCACACCCATCATCTCTCTCCCCCCAATCAATACCGGCTATCCGGCGACCCAACGAGCCTCGCGAAGCCAGCAGCAGACGCTCTCCGTCTTCTCTTTCTTCCCTAATCCCTCCGGTCGAGATAAACCATGAACGATCTGGTCGACGAAGAATTAGGAGGTCGTCTTCTCTACAGCACCGCCAGCAGCAGTAGCAGCATTGAGTAATCGGCAGCGGCAGGTCCAACCGGACGAGCCTATCCGTAAAACGCTCTCAAAACCCCGTACAATTTAGAGGAGGAGGAGATTAAGAATGGCTTCTGGGAGCAGCAGAGGAGGAGGTGGAGATGGAGGGCATCATCACCATCACCATCGCCATAGTAGTAGCAGTAAGCAACCGTTGCAGGTGAGTAGTGGTAATAATGCGGTGTCGCAGACGTCGGGCGGGGAGAGGGAGAGGGTGAGGGGTGGAGGAGCGGGGACGACAGGGGGGAGCAGCCGTGGGGGAGGAGGGGCGTCGGAGTCGGCGGTGAGCAAGGCGATCGCGCAGTACACGGAGGACGCGCGGCTGCACACGGTGTTCGAGCAGTCCGGGGAGTCGGGTAAGTTGTTCGATTACTCTCAGTCGGTGCTTCGGGTGGCGCCCTCCAGCTCCGTCCCCGAGCAGCAGATCACCGCTTACCTGTCCAAGATCCAGCGCGGCGGCCACATCCAGCCCTTCGGCTGCACCGTGGCCGTGGAGGAGCCCTCCTTCTGCATCATCGCATACAGCGAGAACGCCCCTGATCAGCTCGACCTCTCGCCCCAGTCGGTGCCCTCCCTGGGTGGCCCCCAACCCCCAGCCCTCGCCCTCGGCGCCGATGTTCGCTCCCTCTTCACCCCCTCCTCTGCCGCCCTCCTCGAGCGCGCCGCCGCCGCCCGCGAGATCGCCCTGCTCAACCCCCTTTGGATCCACTCCCGCACCTCTCGTAAGCCCTTCTACGCCATCCTCCACCGCGTCGACGTTGGCATCGTGCTCGACCTCGAGCCTGCCCGCTCCGAGGACCCCGCCCTCTCCATAGCTGGCGCTGTGCAATCCCAGAAGCTCGCCGTCCGCGCCATCTCCCGACTCCAGGCCCTACCGAGTGGTGACATCCACCTCCTCTGTGACACCGTCGTCGAGCATGTCCGCGAGCTCACTGGCTACGACCGTGTCATGGTGTACAAGTTCCATGACGACGAACACGGGGAAGTGGTGGCCGAGTGCAAGCGCGACAACCTCGAACCCTACATCGGCCTCCACTATCCGGCAACAGACATCCCCCAGGCGTCCCGCTTCCTGTTCAAGCAGAACCGGGTTCGCATGATCGCCGACTGCCACGCCACCCCCGTCCGCGTCATCCAGGATGAGCGGCTCATGCAGTCCCTCTGCCTCGTTGGCTCCACCCTCCGTGCCCCCCACGGCTGCCACGCCCAGTACATGGCCAACATGGGTTCCATCGCCTCCCTCGCCATGGCCGTCATCATCAATGGCGGGGACGAAGAAGGTGGCGGCACCTCCTCCCGCGCTGGGCCCACGAAGCTCTGGGGGCTCGTCGTCTGCCATCACACCTCCCCCCGCTGCATCCCCTTTCCCCTCCGCTACGCCTGCGAGTTCCTCATGCAGGCCTTTGGCCTCCAGCTCAACATGGAGCTCCAGTTAGCCGCCCAGCTCTCTGAGAAGCATATCCTCCGGACACAGACCCTCCTCTGTGACATGCTTCTTCGTGACACGCCCACTGGCATTGTCACCCAGAGTCCCAGCATCATGGACCTCGTCAAGTGCGATGGGGCGGCTCTCTACTACCAGGGCAAGTACTGGCCGCTAGGCGTCACACCCACCGAGGCACAGGTCAAGGACATTGTCGAGTGGCTGGCTTCCTGCCATGGGGACTCCACCGGCCTGAGCACCGACAGCCTGGCGGATGCTGGTTATCCTGGAGCTTCTGCACTCGGCGATGCGGTCTGCGGCATGGCCGTTGCCTATATCACTCAAATAGATTTCTTGTTCTGGTTTAGGTCTCACACTGCGAAGGAGATCAAATGGGGAGGAGCAAAGCATCATCCGGAGGACAAGGACGATGTGCAACGGATGCACCCTCGCTCATCCTTCAAGGCATTCTTGGAGGTGGTCAAGAGCAGGAGCTTGCCTTGGGAGAATGCAGAGATGGACGCGATCCACTCGTTGCAGCTAATATTGCGGGGTACTTTCAGAGATGCCGTGGATGGGACTAGCAACTCAAAGGTCATTGTCAATGGCCAGTTTGGAGACCTAGAAATGCATGGAATAGATGAGCTCAGCTCGGTTGCAAGGGAGATGGTTAGGTTAATAGAGACAGCGACTGCGCCAATTTTTGCTGTTGATTCAGATGGGCGTATAAATGGTTGGAACGCAAAGGTTGCTGAATTGACAGGCCTACCTGTTGAGGAAGCGATGGGTAAATCACTGGTTCAGGACCTTGTCTTTGAGGAGTTTGCAGATGTTGTTGACAAGCTTCTATGTCGAGCCCTAAGAGGTACATCATCATTTTGCTTCTCCTTACAAAATAGCTTTGTAATAGCATCTTGAAATTAGTGATTGGAGTTCAGGGCTCTCAGTGTGCCAATGTGACATTTCCTTTGTTTTGTTATACTCAACTAGGCTGATTAAAGTGGCAGCTTCTTTGATGGTATAGTTATGTCTATAGTCTTTACTGTGATACAGAAAAAGGGAGAATTCTGAAGTTGCATGAGATGAATTCTAGATTGAATATGTCGAATCTTTCTGTCATTCACCAAGCTTAAATGGATGCAGGTGAAGAAGATAAGAATGTTGAGATAAAGTTGAAGACGTTTGGCTCACAGAAATCAGAAGATGCAATTTTCGTGGTTGTGAATGCATGTTCTAGCAGGGATTTCACAAATTCTATTGTAGGTGTCTGTTTTGTTGGTCAGGATGTTACTGAGCAGAAAGTGGCCATGGACAAATTCATTCACATACAAGGCGATTACAAGGCTATTGTGCATAGTCCCAACCCTTTGATTCCTCCCATTTTTGCTTCGGATGAAAACACTTGTTGCTCTGAGTGGAATACAGCAATGGAAAAGCTCACTGGTTATTCAAGAGGGGAAATGATTGGCAAGCTTCTGGTTGGAGAGGTTTTTGGCAGTTGTTGTCGTCTCAAGGGGCCAGATGCTTTGACGAAGTTCATGATTGTTCTTCATAATGCAATTGGGGAGCAGGAGACAGACAAGTACCCATTTTCATTCTTTGACAAGAATGGAAAATTTGTACAGGCTTTATTGACAGCGAATACAAGAAGTAATATGGATGGTCAGATAATTGGAGCATTTTGCTTTTTACAGATAGCGAGTCCTGAGCTGCAGCAAGCTCTTGAAGTTCAGAGGCAGCAGGAAAAGAAATGTTTCTCTAGGATGAAAGAGTTAGCTTACATTTGCCAAGAGATAAAAAATCCGCTAAGTGGTATTCGGTTCACAAACTCACTGTTGGAGATGACAGAATTAAATGATGATCAAAGGCAGTTTCTTGAAACAAGTGCTTCTTGTGAGAGGCAGATGATGAAAATTATAACGGATGGGAATTTGCAAAGTATCGAGGACGGGTCAGTTTTCTTCCATGTTTAATTTGTTTAAATTTTTACTAATTTGGTGCATATTTTAGTTTGATAATATATTTTACTGGCATTGGGAGGATACAGAACACTTCTGTCAATGTAACCTTGAAGGAAACTGACAAGAACATTGTTAAGAGAACATTACAGTTTGATAGCAAGGATATGCAAATTACAAAACCTAAATGAATTTTATTGGGAATATAATTTTTTAAACATGGTAAAGCTGGTTTTAATTTTGTTAATGAGGGAAACTCATTTGACAACCATTACCTTGTCATATATTAATTGGTTTCGGGGGTTAAATGGCAGGAAAAACAACTGAAACTGATCTGTACTTTTTCTATAAGACTTGGAGAAGTTAGACTTACAAGGCCGACTTGCATTTTTTTTTATATAGAATTAATTGCCTTAATTTGTCCTGACCAGGATTTTGGCAGAATTAGTTGTTTAGCTTCAGGTGGACAGTCCCTAATATTAGTTCCCTTTCATTTTCCTAAAAATCCTTCTCAATTTTATTTGTGTCTATAGCTTGTCATACGTTGTTGTGAATAATGTGTGACCATGAAGAATAATTTGATGCATCCCAAGAATAAGGTAATATTTTTAATACTAGATTGGTCTGTTGGAATTATTTTATATATAAATTAGGTTGTCAAAATTTAGTTTCTTTTGTACATCAGAGCATCTCAATTGACACGAGTCTCTGATTTGAGCAAATCACCAGTTTTAGTGGAGGGATTTGGTTTTTTTGTTTCGAGATTATGGGTGATTTGCATATTTTTTACCTACCAAAAGAGCCTTATTTCTGTAATTTTAATAAGATATTTATTCATCTTATACTGAGTGCCTTCTTGCTTCAAGGATAGAAGCTGGCTTCAAAAGGAAATAATAGAGAGAAAAATGGGAAAAAGAGAAAGAGGTTGGAGAAAAGAAGAGAGAATTAGAGAGGAACTCTCAAGAGGAGGTTCTTTTTTTTGGAAGTAGTACTTCAATTCTCTACCCTTAAGAGCTGCATGAGACACCAATTTATGAACTCTTCTCACGTAATACAATAATAAGCTACTCTGTAATATTATACAAACCTTCCTAGACTCCTTTAATCTATTGAAGTTCTAATACACTCCATATAAGATTATACATTCCTTGACCAGTCCCTTCTTGAGTCCTAACTGGACTAAGAAAAGGAGAGGTGTCAATTAGATGGTTGCCTAATCTATTCATGCCCCTAGCACTTGTCCATGCCCTCGATGAGTCCAAACTTCTAGGAAATCTTCTTCCTTAAATTTTCTATCTTTAGCTGCAATTAGGAATTAATCCAATTGAGTTCAGATCAATTTAGGTCTCTTCGAGTGTATAGAGGTCAGTTTGGACTAATGCAGTCCTTCATTGACTTGGACTATGTGTTGATCTTTGTGTCCAATCAAATCTTGTCCAAACCTATTCACTATTGGTGGTGACCTAGATAAGTTATTAATACAATTCTCTGTGTGATCTCGCATTGCTGCCATGACACATGAATCCCCTCTCTTGGCTGCCCATATGGCAGGAGTGTCCAAGACTGTAAGGCCTCGATCTATCTTTTGGCTTGCCAGAATGGTGCCCCCCGATCCTTCTTTTGCAGTTGCCAGGGTTGAGAAAGAGAATTTTGATGCTGAAAATTTGCATCATAACAACTCCTTTTGTTCCATCTTATTTCACGTCGATTGTCATGCAGGCATTCGACCATATCTATGAGTTTTCTGCTATCAATTATTTCTAGTTTGATTTGGAATTTCATGAACAGAGGACTTATGAGAGATCATGCTGATTGGTAGCTTTGCAGATCTGAAAATGTGAGTACCAAACATATATAGACACTGGACTTTATCTTGCTTGACTGTATAGACCTTTTTCAGAACATGTTCTAGTGATGAAACATACTCAAATGAAGCTGAAATTTATCAATGACATTCTAGTATTGAATAGCTACTCAGAGTCAAGTTGCACCAGATTAGGATGTTGTTATTGTTGAACATTAGCTGCAGTATTTCTGGGACAAAATAGAAAATACTATAGCTGGTTAAAAATTTTCTCTTCTTTCATGCTGCACCATGTCTAATCAGGTAATAATTCCTATAATAGGAAGACTATAGATGAGTTCACCATCTTCATAAGTTGTTATAAAGTCACTGGTGCAGTACTAGACATCATAACCAATTCCTGAACCTCAAATGCACCATGTTGCCAAGGTGGTGGTCTAGGACCTTAAGTTAGAGTACAACTTTGATTTTGTTTTCTTTCTCATATAAAGGAAATGAAGGTAGATGCCATCTGTCACCACCGCCAATACATATGAGTATTGTCTGTTTGGAGATGCTTTTCCTCCCCTATGAAGTCGATTCTAATAATTGTTTGAAGGCGTAGTCGAATCAACAATGGAAGTTAGTGAATTTCTTACTAATGCTTTATGAGAAAATTGATCACCCTATTGACAATTTCTTACTAACGCTTCATGAGAAAATGGTGATGACCAAATTAAGAAAGATAACTTGCTTAAATGACCTCCATAAGCAGTGCTCGAAAGCCAATGCTACTATCCTGATTGTTTGAGAGGTTCTATAGGTGTTTCAAGGGTGAAAACTTCAATCACGTAGATATCCAAGTTGAGATATTCGTCCTTCATCTTTACTACTTGGCCGGCCATGCTAGGGCTATATGCTGATATCGAATACAGTCCTAAACGTTGCTGTGAATCCCCTGTAGACAATGATTATTTTGAATGTTATGTAGGTGCTAAAGATGGCTTGACAGACTGTTGTGTTTGAATTATTTCATGTGCTGAGATAGCTTTCACTTCGGATTTACCCCACACTCTCTTAGGCAAATCGAAGGCTTAATTTAACATGTCAAAGGGCTGCTTATGCACCATAACAAGGTCAAACGACTGTGTTGAACAGTTTCCTTTTTAGTTCTTTGATCGTTTTCATACTTCCATTGGCTTATTTTGGAGAGTCTTTTTGAATCTATAAAAGTAACTTGTTCAACAACATCTACTAGTTTTTTAGACAAAAAATTGTTTAGTTAGTTGACTGTTTTTTAGCCAACTGTATATCATGAGTTTTTTTTGGCACATTTAGCTAAAGTTATGTCTGCTGCTTTGTGTAAGCTAGATCCTCCACTAGGTTGTGGTATAGTGAACTTAGTTGTATTTCTTTTTTCATGCTAAGATAACATTGTTTTATTTAACTATGATGTTATAGTTTCAGACTTATGGAAGAAAATATTGTGTGTTATAATTATCCCACTGTTGATCATACCTTCATATCCAAGATGAAAATAAAGTTGTGATTTGGCTAAATTGAAGGTTACTAGGCTGGCTTAAAGAATTCCATCCTAGTCATGGCTGAAGTTATATGGAGTTGAAAATTTTATGGTCTGGATTATTACCAAATTTCTAAGTTAATAAATTTCTATTACTGTCTTGTTCTTAGAATGTCATTGCCAAGTACTTGTAACTCCCATATTACATTTGTTGCTTTACAGGAATCTCATTCATATCTCTCTGTCTTACTCTGTTGTTCTGTTTGGTATGTGATGTCTGTACCAGGGATTTAAATGCTGGGAGGGCTGGTATGTCCCTACCAATATTTAGCATTCCAACCAAATACTGGCATCAAATCATATAACTTGATACTGGCACATATTCGTTTTTATTGTTTCATTATTTTATTCAATGATATTGGGCAATACAAGTCGGCATAGTGCTTGGTGTATTGTTACTAGCCTGATAGTTCACTAAAACTGTATATAAGTCCCAGGTTTATACTTTGAATCATACACATTGAATCTTAATATCTTGTTGGATTTGTCTCTTATGGCATGATCAACAACATACAAAGGACATTTTGTGGCTCGTTCTCAACCAGGTTTGACCTCAAATCATTGACCATTTCTTTGCAAAATAGTCTTTTAAGCTAAAGGGGATCTAATGTCAACTCTTAAATTGGTACAGCTTGCTAATTTCATCTTTCATAACGATAGTAAACCAAATGTCTGGTAATAGTCCTTGAGCGGTATGTTTTGTGACCCATAAGTTACTTGTTAACTGATTATCCTCATCTATATAGAACCTCTATGCTACCTCATGTTCGTAGAAGCTGCATTATCACCACAATATTTGTATGATTAAACTTTCATTGAATTTCTATTTTGACTTCTTCTATATGTTACTGATGTTGTTCATATTTCATAACTTGTGTTACCAGCTCCTTAGCACTTGAGAAAAGTGAGTTTCTACTTGGAAGCATCGTGAATGCTGTTGTTAGTCAAGTTATGATTTTACTGAGACAAAGAGGTTTACAATTGATTCGGGATATTCCTGAGGAAATTAAAGTGATATCTGTTTATGGTGATCAACTAAGAATTCAGCAAGTCTTGGCTGACTTTTTACTTAACATGATCCACCATGCACCGTCTCCAGAAGGTTGGGTAGAAATTCAAGTTAGGCCAAGTTTGAAGCACAATTCCGATGGAACGGAAATGGTGCTCCTGCACTTCAGGTGTGCTATCTTACTGTTTGATTTTTGCTGATTAGAATGTAGTGTTAAAGATAAGAAATGTCTCTTTGAAGTGTAATAATTGCACATGTTTTCTTTTACTAAATCCTGATATACTTTGTACACACTCTAGAGGTTGTGGATGATGCTCCTTGACTATCTCCTTGTTTGAAAATACATGGTGTATCTTGCATAAAGTTTAAGAATCACATACAATCTACTGTATTTTTGGTGTACTAAGAATACTAGTTGTTCAACAAAATGTACCTGGTTGTAACACTGATAGTCAAATGGGCTAAGGCTAATGTTGAAATAAGTGGCCTCCTTTTTCTCATTCGTATACATAACTAAACTCTTCAAGTGCAAATTATATCTGAGTTAGTCTTTATTATTTCTTTTCCTTCTTTATTTGGATTTAGGAGTAGATGAATGTGACATTTATAACATTGAACTAAAAAACCTGCATCTCATTTGTGAAATTCTGTGTTATTTAAAGTAGATAATTGTACTTTATCGATTTTACTGTAACAAGACCTTCATGTGTTCATGATATCTTGCAGATTTATAAGTGGGAAAGCAACCTTGGATATGTTTTTTTTTTTCTTATTATGTATAAATTTGGATGGATGACACAGAGAGGGGCTTGAAACAGAGAGAGAGAGAGAGAGAGAGAGAGAGAGAGCAGAGAATTGATAATTCATGCTAACTAGATATATTAACTAGTTAACTATTAACTAGATAATTCATAGCAACTAACTATGTGGCTGATCCCAAACCGTTGGGACCAAATGTATCATTGATGTTGTCGGTGGCAGCATAACATGGTGGTCGTATTAAATCTGATGACCTTCAATAATCCAATATCCAATTCAAATGTCAAAAGTATAGAGACAATAAAATCAAATCTCTTATCATGTTCTTGGTGGCAGCATCACATGGTGGTTGCATTAAATATGATGACCTGCAGTAATCCAATATCCAATTCAAATGTCAAAATACAGAGACAGTAAAATCAAATCTCTTATCATGTTCCTTCGTAGTCTTGTAGTCGGGGCTGAGGTGAAAAATAAGCGCATGATCTAATAGTTAATTGTTGTCATCCTTTTGCCTAAACACTACCTATTGTAACCAAAAATATATTGTTTGATTTCCTGGTTGGTTTGGTGTCGCAAACAGATAGTTCCAAGCAAGGTTCATCATATCACGGTGTACTGCACAGTATAGGCAGTACGTACCGGTCCAATAAAGGATCAGTATGAGCGGTATATAGCAGTTTGTTAGTAGACCCCATCGTACCATGTGTCGGTACGTCGGAATGTACCATACCGACAGTTGATTGGTACACCGGTACGGATCAGTAAAATGAACCATGTTTCCAAGAGTACGCTTATGCCTTCTCTGGAACTTTCTGAGAGGTATTGTGGATAAGGGGTGGGTGGTTGTTTGCCTTGTTGTGGTTTTTCTTGGTAGGATAGGAACAAATTTTTTTTTTGGTTCTTTATTGACCTTATTTGTTCCAAGTCAGACATCTTTGGTACCAGACTATTCTTATCTTGTTTGCCTCTCCCCAGTGACAACAGAAAACTGTTTTGGGTTTGCATCTTTCATGCGTTTCATTTGTAATCATATAAAGTGCAACATTTTTTTCGTCCATTTCTTGTTCCTTGTAGCTGCATCACCGTGACAATGAATCTTTCAATGAACAAGCCACATGAAGAAGCAGTCAAGTATGAATGCATTGTAGAAGGTTTCTTTACAATTATCTGGAGATGTTGCAATAGTCTTGTGAAAAAAAGTTATCACTTGATTTTTCTCATTTTGCTGAATTTTTTGCATCTCCGAGCATGATATGTGGACTTAACCCAAAGAGTCATACATTAAATGTGGAAGTATGTGTTTGTTTATCGACTAGTTTGGCTTACTACTGTTAACTTAGACTTGGAACATTTTAGGTCACATGGTTCTAGACGTATCAAATTAATGAGTTGATTTTTCCAGTAAGTCATGTTATAGCAATTGGTGTCAATGCGTATTCAGTGCTAGGCATGGTAAGGGCTACAAGTATAAAATTGCTATCCTTGGATGGTACTAGAGGTCTATCATGACATGGAGCTACCATTGGACTCAATCTCCAGGTCACCTACTAAGACTGATTCAGGGTTATGCATTGAGATGCGAATGTCATCTTAAGTGGGGAGATTGTCACTCCAAATATTCTTATATTAGAAATGAGAACATGTTCTGTTGGTTTACAAGGTTAGGTAAATCTACTTACATCAACTAAGGTTAAACCTTTTAATCCACATGGTTTCACTCTCATCAAATTATGAAATCAGTTTTTCCATCGAATGGGGTCATGACAGTTGGTATTAGGGGGTGAGGGTGAACCTAATACTAGGCATTGTGAGATATCCAAATAGGAAAGACTACTACTTTTGGATGGAGCTGGAGACATATCATGATGTGGAACTATTATTTGGTTGGGCTTCATATATCACCTAACTTAACAAGGACATTAATCCCACATCAAATGTGAGAATATTGTATCGGTGACGTTTGTTTATGCTTGAACATTTCGAACTGTGTGATTCTAAAAATCTAATCTCATTAAATTAACGAGTCAACTTCATATCGGACTGGGTTGTGTCACATAAGGTGGACAACTTTTTCTGGGTCGTTCTTCTCACTAATTCAAGGTGTTTCATGTACGGATCTTGAATTCCTTTTAAACTGTTTGAGTTTCAGTTTGTTAATGGTAATTCAAGGAAAGAGAGTTGCAGATTATTGCTATGACTTGTGCTGTCCTTATTTTTTTCTAACACATCATACTCTTCTCTCTTTCTCAGAATAGTCTGCCCTGGTGATGGCCTTCCTCCAGAACTGGTCCAAGACATGTTTCATAACTCTTGGTGGGTAACAGAAGAAGGCCTTGGACTGAGCACCTGCAGGAAGCTATTAAAACTGATGAATGGGGAAGTCCAATATGTGAGGGAGTCAGTGAAGTGTTACTTCCTCGTATCCATAGAACTCCCTACAAGCAGCAGAGCTCAAAGTAGAGGAAGCTGAGGCAGGCACTGACTCTGAACTGACTTCCCCATAAATAACGAAGATCTAAGAGTTTTTATTTCTTATCTGCAGATGAATGCTTTAGGTAGTTGAGCCACTGAAAACCGAGGTTGTATTAGAAGTGATCCACTCAAGTCTAGCGTTCAATGAGATCAAGCCACTCATATTGCAGCCAGCCATGTTGCATGAATAATTGCTCTGAAAGATCACTCTCCTGGTCAAGTATGAGGTTTTTTCTTTTCTCTTTAGTGCTAATGTTTTAGATAGCAGGGTGGCATGGCTGTATTTATGTACGCAATTAAGTATCATCATGGCTTTGGTGCTGAAGTGGAATATCATATATGCTTGTAATATTCTACATGAATGAAGTTATTAAAAGCTTCTCTGAACCAGAAAGCTTCTTCTCACGTTTTAATTTTTGTGCATTATGTATATCTTCTTCAAGCCTGTTTGTGTAATTGACACACAGGATACTGATGTCATGAAAGCTGTTTCAAGAGAAATCTAGCTGCAGAAAAAGATTGTGTACCAGCCCAAAGCTGTGGCACTGTTCCAAACACAACTCATCAGGAATCCAAACGTGAAATTAAGAAGGAAGATTCTGCAGTTGTCCTTCATTTAATTGCAGTCATTATCTCTAATTTTTTGCGATGTGACATTCAATGATAGATCTAATTAAGAGAATAAGATATTATTCTCTTATTTTGATCTTTATTTCTCTTTATATAAAAGCAACAACACCAGCAGGACGTGACATAAAAAGGGTGTAGTTGTTTACAACTATCTGTCTATATATCCCTCTGCAACTTAAATGGTCGTCGCACCGAATACATTGGTGAAAGCCTCGCTCTGTTGTTATGAGCTTGGCCAAAAGACCAGTCTTCCAAGCCCTCAAATGTTGCGCTGGTGACGTAACAAGATCGATCAAGCCCACCATTACCCTGTCCATCCTCGAATTCAATCTCCAAAAATGCCGAAACCCCAAGGAGTTCCTCCAAATCCACGCCCAAATGGTCGCTTCCGGCTTCATCAGGGACACCTTCGCCGCAAGTCGCCTCCTTTCCTTCTCCGCTGCCTCCCCCTTCTTGGGTCTGGACTACTCCCGCCGGCTTCTGCACCAGATCGACAACCCCAACGCTTTCACCTGGAACACCCTCATGCGAGCCTGTATCCACCGGAACTCCCCCCAGTTTGCCCTCCCTTTGTACCGTTCGATGCTGGGAGGCGATTCAGCGCCGGATAGTTACACGCATCCGATTGTCATTCATGCCTCCGCTGTTCGGTCTTCGGAAGTTGAAGGGAAGCTGATTCATGCCCATGTCGTAAAATTCGGTTTTGATTCGGATGTCTACGTGTTGAACACTTTGATCAATATGTACTCTGTGTGTGGGAATCTGACCGATGCGCGGCATCTGTTCGATAGAAGTCCTGTTTTGGATTCAGTTTCTTGGAATTCGATGCTCGCAGCGCATGTTCAGGCTGGTGATGTTAAGGAAGCGTTCCGGCTTTTTGATTCGATGCCAGAGCAGAACACGATCGCTGCAAACTTTATGATTGCTTTATTTGGTAAGTGTAATCTTGTGAGTGATGCACGTAAACTGTTTGATGGAATGGATGCTAGGGATGTGGTTTCTTGGACAGCTATGATTTCTTGTTATGAACAGAATGAACTGTTTGCTGAGGCCTTGGAGATGTTCCATAGAATGAAGAGGGAGGGAGTCTCGATGGATGAGGTTGTCATGGTCAGCGCTCTGTCCGCTTGCACCAAGTTAGGGGCAAACAAAAAAGGTGAGGTGATTCATGGGTTGATCATCAAAGATGGCCTTGATTCTTGTATTAATCCTCGGAATGCATTGATTTACATGTACTCAAATCATGGGAATATAGTTGCCGCCCGACAATTGTTCGATTCGTGTAGTTTTCTAGATCAAATATCCTGGAATTCTATGATATCTGGCTACTTGAAATGTGGACTCATCGATGAGGCAAGAGCATTATTTGATGCAATGCCTTTGAAGGATGCAGTTTCATGGAGTACTATGATTGCAGGTTATGCTCAACATGATCGGTTCATGGAGACATTAGAATTATTTAGTGAGATGCAAGTTGGGCATATTAAGCCTGATGAGACTCCCTTGGTGAGTGTTATTTCTGCTTGTGCACGCCTATCTGCTCTAGAACAAGGCAAATGGGTTCATGCATATATCAAGAAAAATGGCTTTGCTATAAATGTTTTTCTTGGGACAACTTTGATTGACATGTACATGAAGTGTGGCACGGTGGAGACTGCGATGGAGGTTTTTAATGGGATGAAACATAGGGGCACTTCTACTTGGAATGCTGTTATATTGGGATTGGCAATGAATGGACTTGTCAAGGAGTCCTTTGAGAAATTTGAAGAGATGAAAAGGTGTGGAGTTCCTCCAAATGAAATAACTTATGTGGGGGTTCTAGGTGCTTGTCGACATGCTGGCTTAGTAGATGAGGGGCGCCAGCATTTTAACACTATGAAGCAGGTTCATGGGATTCTACCGAATATTAAACACTATGGGTGCATGGTTGATCTTCTCGGTCGTGCAGGCTTGCTTAGAGAGGCTGAAGAACTTGTGGAAAGCATGCCTATGGCTCCTGATGTGGCTACATGGGGTGCCCTGCTAGGTGCTTGCAAGAAGCATGGTGCCACTGATGTAGGAGAACGAGTAGGGAAAAAGCTCATTGAGCTTGAACCTCATCATGATGGTTTCCATGTGTTGTTGGCAAACATATATGCTTCAAAAGGGAAATGGGATGATGTCATGGAGCTCAGAGGTACAATGAGACAGCGAGGGGTCATGAAGATACCAGGTTGTAGCATGATAGAGTCAGACGGTGTTATACATGAATTTTTGGCAGGTGACAGAACACATCCTCATATAGAAAAAATTGATAAAATGCTAGAAGAGATGGCTAGGAGATTGAAATTGGAAGGCTATCAACCAGACACCACTGATGTTGTTTATGACATAGAAGAAGAAGAGAAGGAAACTACTCTTTATAGGCATAGTGAGAAGCTTGCCATTGCCTTTGGCCTTATCAGCACACCCCCACCAGCACCAATCAGAATAATGAAGAACTTGCGGATATGCGGTGATTGCCACGATGCAGCAAAGATCATTTCTAGAGCTTTTCAACGTGAAATTATCCTGAGAGACCGTCAGCGGTTTCACCACTTCAGACAAGGTTTATGCTCGTGTACAGACTTTTGGTAATTATAATTCTTTATAAAAACTTTGTCCGTATAATTCTTCTCTGGCTTCTTTGGTTCCCTTGTCCTCATGATTAAGGCTGCAGAATGACCCTACAATTTAGTAATCTGATGCATTGCTACAGATGGACTATGGGAACTCAGAATATTAGTGGATGGTTTAATGAAATTAACACCTGCACTATTTGTTCAATACCATGAATTCCCTCCAAGAAACATTGTAGTAGAGTCTACAAAGTTATATAAAGTCCATGAACAACAGATTTTTCAATCCTATTTGGATCACAAGTTTGCTTGAAATTCTGAGGAGATGGTTCAAGGACTTCTACAAGCCATTATGTGTTGCTGCAATTTTTGGTGTCCAGATATCTAAAGCTGAAGTTATTACGAGACAGGTACCAATAAACCTTGACTGTTTATCCGTTAGAAGAATTAAATTCATAGTCGCTTACCAGGCAGCTAAACACTTCTATGTCTTGATGATTGTAACAATCATACAGTATGTATGGCTGCATCGAGTATTTTGTTCAAATCAGAAAGAATATCCAGGCTGATTGAATTGGAAAGGTATATTCTCTGGTGATGATCACTTCTTAATTTAATGGGGCACCTAAAAAGATGAAAATTGATGTCATACATTATGAGTACTGTATGGTGCATGGCAGTTTACCTACTCTGATTCCCAAGTACAAATTTATAAGTATCTAATGCATCCATATTTTAGTTTAATTAAAATCTCCAATGACTTTGCAAGTTCAAGCAGATCTGATATATTATGGTTGTAGTCCAATTCAGTGGCACTAATTCCTTTCTCTTTTGCAGAATAATTTGAAGAAATTCATCAGAGCAAGGACTTATATGATTGCAGAATTTTCCTTCTGATCTTTCTAGAGTCTACAACATGGATCCATCAGTATAAATCCCTCCAGTTTCCTTTAATTCTTTATCCACAAGCTGACTTCCACTGTAGTTTCTGTCCACCTTCCTGGTGAGATATTCTTTCTTAATGTGATAAAAAGTCATGGGCTGATGTTGTTTTATCATATTCTTTTTATTCTTCCATAACTTCAAATTATATTGGATACATGGAGTTAGGTCAAGCTTCCAAATAAATGCATGATTGATCATCTGGTTGACACATACATAGGCAAAAAAGTAACGTTCATAACAAATTTTATCAATTTGGGCTTCATGCACTTATACAGTAAGAAAAGAGAACTAAAAAGTATACACTATCTTAGCTGCAAATGCAGCATTTAACTGAAAGATTTAAGAATCTTTTGTGAGAAACAAAAGAACTGGTGAAATGTTTTATCTAAAGGCTATTGATGTTGTTCTCGACAAAACCCGATGATGTAAAAAGATATATGCAGCCAATTTAAAACAGTGAGACTTCAGCTACGCCTCTGCATGCGGTATACTGACCACATGTTTTAGTAGTCATTTGTTAGTGAACTCCTGTTTATATTCCTATATTCCATCGTCCATTGACATAATCATCTTATCGATTTATAAAATCTTATAATAGGACCACTGTTTATACTGGTCTCGAACTGAACTGTTGCCATGTAAATGCAGAACAGAAGCAGAGCAAAGCTCTTGGGCACCGGTACCTGCCCCTTTTTGTCTTAAACAGTGCTTGAAGACTTGTCAAGACAATCCTGTAATGATCTCTTAAATTCAAATCTAAATGACTTTTCTGAGAAGGCTCCTGCAGCAGATTCTTCATGTATGAGGCTAACTGCAGCCAATACAATTGAGTCCTGCAGCAATCAGAGTATCCTTTTGCTGCTGAATGATGGGCATTACTCACATCATGAAATAAATTGTAAGGTTTATCCTTTCAAGAGTGCTCAGTCTATGAAATCTTCTATAATCGAGGACTTGTCCCCTTCCCCTCTGTATCTACTGAACTACTCGAGCACTATCTTCAGCTATCCGTCTGACATTGGTCAAGGATGGCATATCGGTTAATTGGCAGGTGGTCGCCCGACATAATAACCCAAGGAAAGCATACTTACCTGCTATGGTCGTCCTTCTCAAATTCCATGAATAATTTCACAGTTCATCTCACTGTAGAGTTGATGTCACTACTGTTGGAATATTCATTTGAACTATAGATGGGACTGAATTATTTAGGATTTATAAAGTTATTGTATCGGTGTTGGGTGTCTTATTGAAACCAGATTATAGCATATAATTTGTGACTTTATAATCTAAATAAAAGGGAATGACTGTGCAATAAAATTATTAAATTAATGTCTCTTGTATGTCTCTTCTTTATGAATTATCGAAGAATACAAATTTTAAGTCAATTTTCCAAACATGGTATTTGTGATTGATGAAGAACAGGTTTAACCTGGTAATCTACACTCGTTCCTTTCGAAGAACATATATGATCCTGACAACCATAAAATAAAATGGTACCATGGTGAAAAAAAAATGGAAACACTAATTCTCCTCCCAAATAGCAAATAGAAGGTATGAGTTATGATTTTTGTAAAATCTTTTAAGTATTTCTTTATTACCAAAAATTGATTGAAAATATTATTAGCCTTCGGATAAGAAGATATAGAAGAATTATTTATTAAGGAAGCAAAGGATATATCATCATGAATTCTCTTGCAATTGAAAAGCAGCAAAAGATTGCAGACAGGCAGACGCTAACTCGCTAATACTTTTTTTGAAGTCCTATTACTCGTTATGGAACCATCCAAAATGCATTGTTCACTTCTTACTCTGATGGCATTAGTTTTTCTATCTTAGCTACCGTACAGACCGAATCATAAATCATAACTCGGCATCGAAAGTTACTGATGCCTGATATATCTAATGCATTCAATCAAAGCTGAGTACCCAATTACCTCATTCATCGTCTTGTCTCATCTACCATGGCTGGCGCTTCCCTTGTGGGATAAGCCCTGCACAGCCACACGAAATCTCGTGGTTCCGATGGCTTGCTCCAAAAGTTGGGAAGACGAGTGAAGTGAGATCAAATCAAAGGAGTATGAATTATCTGGACATCATCATCATCCTTATTTTCACGGAAGAGGAAGGCACATTTCCAACATCTTACTGCCAAGAATAGCATGCTGAGCCTCGCAGTTGCTTGCTTCTTCGCAACGCCTTCTGCACCAAAATGGCAATCCCCTACGGGTATCATCATATGCTCAGATATCCATCCTCGTCGTTCGAACTGGCACCGTTGCATTACGCTTTGTGCCGCAGATTTTTGGCTGCTGCTTCATTCGATAATACTTGCCCTTCACGCCAAGTCTTAGTGGAGGAAATGGGAAGACAGAGAAAGATTTGTTGTTTGTGATGACAAGTTTGGTTCTACGGATGGATAATTTTTTATTAGACTCGAACGATCCGAATATGATTTTTGATTTTTGATTTTTGAGAACTGAGATCGATAATTCTTGATTTTTAAGATTATTAGTTTAAACTAATAATTAATGATTTTTTTGGAAAAAAAAAATTAATTAAAATTATTTTAATTATAATAAATCATTGTAATTGATGTGACGTCATAAACTTATAAGGTATTATGATCCGACGTGGCCATAGATAGATCCACAATTCGATCTAGAAAAAAAAGGCCGCAAATAATTGCATTTAATTTCCCCATGAGGAGCGAGGGAGTTGTTCGGCCGGAGCGAACGTTGACTTCCGACCCGACGGGGGGCGGGGGGGGCCACAAGGAACCCCGCTTTCTCTCCCGTGGGGACCGGCGGAGTTGACCGTCTACGTGGCGTGGCGGGAGGCGTTTCCGCGCCGTCCGCTGTCGTGCTCGCCAGCTCTCAGTTTGCTGCTTGCTTGCTTGCGGATGTGTCGCGAAGACTTGTGCGGATTGTCTACGATATAACTGACAGACGTCACTTTGATTAGCGAAACGAGAGTCAAAATCGAGTCAGACACCGTCGCCATTCATAATCCGCGATCGAAGACTTTTGCTGATAATTAGGAACATAGTGGAGTAATCATTAATCATCGGATTCTTGATCTGTGTTTCTTGTCGATTATTCAACTTGCTTATGAAATTATTTGGACAGCAAAATATTATGTCTGTAATCATAAGAACATCTTTACAGTGACTCTGTCGAATTAAGGAGGTAACAGTGAAGTCTAAGAACTCATCAAGGAATCAGATCAGCAATCTGTCTTCTCCGATTGCTTCCAAGATTTCCATTCTAAAGCTAAAGCTGCTGCTGCTGCTGTAACCAAATGTCCTCCACGCTCCACAAGCTCTCCCCCCACCCGCTCTGGTCGACGTCCGGCAGGCCCGAGAAGGCGTACCCGCCGGGGCTCGGCGGCTGAGCCCCCTGCATCCAGTCGACGCCGACCCCCTGAATCCCGCGGCTTTCCGTGACGCTCTCCGACGCCGGAGGCGATGATAACCGAGCCTCGAAGGAGTACTCCATGGTTGGCGGAGGCTCAGCAGCTCGGTGTACAGGACGCGTGGGAGCCAGCGGGGCTGCGGCATTCTGATGCATGGCGGTGGCGGCGGAGCTGCTGGAGGCCTCGCGGATCCTCTCGACGAGGCGAGGCATCCATATGGACCGCAGGATGTCCCTGAACTGCTTGCTGTTCACGTCGCACCGCAGCTGCTTCGCGTGCTTCTGCACCCTCGTCCTCCAGTAGTTCTTGATCTCGTTGTCGGTCCTCCCCGGCAAGTGCCGCGCTATCTTCGACCACCTGCACGCGTCTCACGCTCCATGCTCAGCCCTGCAATCGAAGGCGAAGGTCGCCATGAAAAGAATCCATCTGTGTAACGCACCGGTTCCCCAAGCGAAAGTGGAGTTCGAGGATGAGGAGCTGCTCTTCCGGGGTGATGTTGCCGCGCCGGACGTCGGGGCGGAGATAGTTGAGCCATCGGAGCCGGCAACTCTTGCCTGTTCTTCTCAGACCTGTCACGTACAGCAAAAGGTTGGCCATGTCTTGCCCAAAGGAGCTCAAACGTGTTTCTTTCTCTGCCATCGAACGAATCATACGACTAATCGAAGAGAAACCAACGACTTCATCGAGTTCTATGTTCTCCTCCTACTACTCTGCATTCCTACTAGATAAGAAATGGGCACCTGCGCGGCGAGCAAGAGAGTTCCAGCGTCCCTCGCCATGGGCAGTGACATAGTTCATCAGTATGAGGTCCTCGTCCGCAGTCCACGGCCCTCTCCTCAGCTCCATCTCCTCCTCAGATGGCGGCGTGGCGGAGCCGCAAGCCCTTCCCTGGAACTCCATTTCTGCGCAACCGCCTGGGATCGGGTTGGAACTATTTGGTGGAGGAGAGGTGGGGGTTTATATAGAGGGATTGAGAGCTCAAAGAGATATGTTCATGGCATTGGTTCGAACCATTTAAAGCCGGAAAGAATAGGCTCTCGATACTGCCTGCCGGACTCTGTTCTCTTCTATGTGATGTAATGCACTCTCTTTGCTTGAGAAGAGTAGACCAAACTACTACTTTTTCCTCTCTCTTCTTCTCTCTTTCTCTGGCTAAAGATGCTATGAGATTGTTTGAACATTAGGTTATCAAGCGATTGTGTCACTTTTCAGTGACAGGGGCAGTCTCTGCATGACATGGATATGGATTATGTACTCCCCCGTCTTCCTTCTCTGTGTTTTCACTCTTAATGAAACAGTGTGTTTTACCTATTGCTTAGTGTTTTCTTTATTGATGTAATCAAATTTAATCGTCAACTAGAATTGGTGAAATTGATCTTATTTGATCTATTTTTTCTCGTATCTTTCGTCTCACCTAAGTTCAAGGATAAGAGACATTTTCGATTCCTACAAAGAAAGATATATCGACGGTTAATTTGGTAAAATCACTTCGTTAATTAAGTCAGTATTAGTCTGTGTTAAAAGGTCATAAGTATTTGTATATTTAATTTGAAATGAAAATGTATTTGAAACTGAAAATGCTACTTTACAGTATTGTTGTAATTAGTAGGCTGTTTATTAATTATATCAGATAATTGACATGTCATATCTAATAAACATTGATCCGATTTCATAGGTCAAATTTTGATTGATCAAAGATAATGACCTATTATTTATGAATACTGAGGAACGCAATCTTTTTACACTGTAAATGCACAACATAAAGGTGGCCTCGATGGTTATCTAAATTATCATTAGTGTCAGAAAGCAAGGTTTGTTCGTCCTATTGAACTATGCTATGTATCGGTCCAATAGGGAATTAATACACATATCAAAATCTGATCGTCGCCGATCAATGACTCTGATTGTCCTATTTTAAATGATCAATTTAACTATTTAAACCGTAGGATAGGATTTTTAAACCCTTTTGTCTGGCATGATCATCCGCACAGCATCCAAAGGCAAAGACAAAGGAAAAAGTAGTAACATCAATCGCATCGTTAGAAAGAATTAAGTTGGATGATAAGACACCTTCTCAATCGTATTTAACAATTCGCTCGGTCCATAAACATGATAGCGACGTGGACAATAGTGTCTCGATCGATAATGACGGTGTTGTTGGGAAGTCGATAGTCTCATCTACATAATTTGAGGGTAGTGCATGGATTAAGGAGCAATATTTTATACATACCACCTAAGATTTAGATTATAGAGCTTAACGAGCTTAACGAGGTACTAGTCAAGTTTATACATGGAAGAGAAAGGAAAAAACAATGGATGATATTGAGTAAATGTGATGGAGCCTACATGACATAGTCACGAAGCGAAGTTCATCATATTCATAATCATCATATTATGAAGAATCTTACAAACAACAACAATACGATGATAGTTAATTATACTTCTTCGAGTAGTAGTACGATGATCGATTTTATGACACAGAGCAATAGACCAATGGCGAAAGTAGAAGTTTTAACATTCTTTATGCTTCGCATCAATATATGCCACAATCATTTTTGCCTTAGAAGCCGCCTCAAACACATATGATTCATGATGATGAGATTACGATTATTACCACATCTATGCACCAATAACATATGGTATATTAGTATACTATGTCCTGAAATCATTTTAAAAATTGGGTTCGATAAACATATCAAATCGATATACAAATACATTCGATCGAGGACCTCGATCCACTGTCCGTGAAGTCTCATCATTCTTTTTGATGATAATATTAGTTATTAACAAATAATTTAATTATTTAAAATATTTTTTTTATAGATAATTTAATATTAATGGAATGAAGATCCAAATACCATAAAATTATTTCGTAAAACTCAAAAAAGATATGTATCATTATTTTTCCTAAATTAAATTATTTTTTTACTAAAAGTATATTATCTTTAACTTAAAAATGCTAATCTATTTTTTATTATTTTTTTTAAATTTTGAAACTATTTTTTATAATTTTACCATATTATCAATATATCCAAACATATGGACATGTTGATACATCTCGATGCGTACTATATGATCGATAGATACGCATATCGTAAACCTTGAAAGAAAGTATTACATGTCCATGCGAGAGGCACATCAGTTGGCTGCTGCCCGTTCCCTGCATCTCTCTATCTGCACATTAGTTCATGATATGCTAGTGCTTTTGACTACATACTACTAAAGAGAGAGAGAAGAAGAACAACACACTTCGCTTGTTTTAACTTGAGAAACGTGCACTTTATAAGTTCATTAAAGGTTATGAATGATTAGAATAAGAAAAAGTTTGATAAAGATAAGAAAAAAATTACAACAAAACAAGGATTTTGTAATTGGTGGTGGGAAGTGATGGGGTAGCCACCACCATAGTCTCTCTCCATGTCTACAGAACTCATATACAACTGGTGGTGGTGGTGGTGGTGGAACAGACATTGATGTCTAGTTAAAGATTGATTTGTAATGCATGTTTGAACAGAGAGGTTCCAAAATGCTCTAATAACAGCAATTAAGTGCCTTTTGTGCTAACAAAGATAGATGATTTATAAGGTCAATAACTCATTTAAATCAAATTAAGATATCATTAATTGGATTTGGAACAAGGTCAAATATCACAACTCAGATTTGAGGTGAATTTTAATCTACCATAATAAACAATCCAAATTATATATCTAAACACCAAGAGGGAGAAAACACTTTGGGGCATATACTAATCAAAACCTGAGACCATAGTCTCATATGTAACTTCTTGGACACAAATTGATGTCTCTGATGTCTGATCAATTGGAATAATTGAGGTGCCACAGTCAATGATTGAATTAATATAGCTAGTTAAAGTCATGCATGTATGCCTAATCCAAGATAAATAACAAGTAGAAGAAGCACCACTGGGAAGTGTTCTCAGTGCCTTTTGTACTTTCAAGCTTCCTTTTTGAATGTGTTGCTGATCAATGGTCATCCCAAAAGTACCACTTAACATGATTCTTCAGGAAAGCTGAAAGGTGGCCCCTCTGTGTTTGAACCAAGTGTCTTGATCTAGTGGAGTGTTACTTTAGCCTGCTTCCTTCAACCAAGGTTGATATGCCACATGTTGCTTCTTCATTGTTTGACCTCTTTGTTCCCATAGTGGATGGTGAAGTAAAGTATCATGTTTATCCATTCTCTAGAAGAAATTTGAGGCATGTGACACACTTAAGAATACCAACTTGACAAACCACTAATTGCTCATGTTAGTAGTTTATGAGTTATTGCCCAAGCATAATCATACATCATACACTATACACACATATATATAATGGAGTACAGAAGGGATAAGAGATTGTAGGTGAATCTTTTATGTTTTTGTTTTAATCTCATTGGGCAAGTGAGATGATTTGATGTGGGAACACTTAATCCTTGTGATGGCTAGGAAGAGACATTGCTTTTCTAAAGGAGCATGTTTTTCAATACTTTAATCATTGAAGAATAAAGTAAGGTTGATTAGGTTTCTATACTTTTATAGAAAAATAGATTTATCTTCTCATAGTCTTTAATTTAATCAGGTAAAGTTACTACACTAGACTTTTACCAATACAAGATTTTTTTAGGAATAATTTTATGTAAAGCCAATCTTGTCGAAGAAGGTTTTATCACTAATTATTAGGTTAAGAATTTCTTCCATGGATGATTTGTTTTATATTATGAAGCATATGTTTACCATCGCAATCTCAAGTAAAGTCTCCCTCTTTAGTTTTGTTTTGCTGCTATCTTTTGATCTTGGAATGTGGACTATCATGTCTTCTTGTGGGGCAAGAATTGGGTTGCAACTTTGGACCTTAAACTTGCATATGATAAGGATTGTTGCAATTAAACCCACTCTATGGAATGGAGTGATTAATTTGACTATGCAAGGTTTAGATTCATACTAAGAATCATTTCAAGGTGGAGTTCATAATTTCACCAACAAGAAATCAAGAATAACTATCTTAAAATTTAGTACGATAAGATAAAAAATTCTCTACTTATTCAAAGTCGTGGTATCTAAATCTTAACATATTTTCTTCGTAACTCATGGATGAGATGAAATAGAAAAAGAGATTGACTACTGATTAATGATCAAAGAGTTGAATTATATATATTAAGTTATGATTGTCTTATAGTAACTTAAAATTTTGAGTTATAATAAATCCAATCTTAGTATTGATTAGTTGTATTGATTAAGACTATGTTTGAAATATATTTATATTTTTAACATGAAGTTGGAGAAAAAGGTTTGAGTGAATGTGCTGAATTATTTGATAAATAATAGATAAAAATTATATTCTAAATATGTATTGATATAAGTATAGTATGGTAAAATTATATTTCAAAAGTCCATTGAATATTTTGTGACAAATTTATCCTTCTAATAATTTTAATATGTATTCAAACATGAATACACATATTTTTATTAAAATTAATAAGTAAATATATATAATGCTACAAAAATATATAATAAAATCATATAAATAAATATATAATAGCTTTTAAAAATAAATGAATAAATAAATAAATAAAATCTCACCTTATAGAAAATATAAATCATGTTGATTTCTCACTAAATCATTTTGACAATCTTATAATTTTAAATAAAATCATAAGGTACTTTAAAAATTAAAAAAAAAATTATATTGACATCCTGTAAATGTCAAGATATATGAGGTAGCATTAGCATTTGAATATTTTCAATATAGTATCTAAATCATATGTGATTTGAAAAAAAATTATCAAGCGTTAATTTACATTTGAAATGTGTATTGTGCCATCAATACATTTTTTTTCAAATATATTTTCAAATATTTCAAAAAAAAAGTTTGGATTATATTTTAGTTAATTCCAGTTATAATGACATATAATGCCATCAGTTTGACTCAAATGAAAATGAAAGTGAGATAGAGGTTAATCTCATGTGACAAAATATCAAAATAGTTGACTATTTATATTTGGTTGTACTTTAATTAAATACTTCAGTTTTTTTGGACTGTGATGATGTTTAAACTCCATATGTAATAGTCTTCATCATAAATTATTTAGATTCAAATACTATATATATATATATAGTTGTTGTTGCCTGTACTTGCAACCTCAAAAGGCCAAAAGCAAACTCCTTCGATCTCCTCTCGCTGTACTTAATACACACTTTTCAAAAGCTAATCACATTTCGCAGAGGAGTTCATATTTATGATGCATGCATGCATGCATACACTTCCTCCACTGACCAACTATAATGAGCAGTCAATTATTCCTCGTTCGATCGATGATATGATTGAGTTGGGAGAAAAGAAGACACTAAAGGTGGGAGAAAGAAATATCACACATCCATCTCATCCTCCACTAAAGCCTTCTTATCCACTCAACCAACCTTCCTCTAATTATAATTTTATTCAAGTAACCTTTCTATTAGTTTAAGATCTCTTTTGCACATTATCTATCCACTCAAATAACAGGTATTTCTATTATGAAGAAGAACAAAAACAATCGTTATATGACAAGACAAATATGATAATTTCTCTTTCTTTAAAGAAATACAAAATAATTATTTATTTGATTAATTTTGATATGATTGTATTTTCTTTCTTATTATTTTTATTGTTATCTTCATCTTCCTCTTTATTTTCTGCTGATTGTCCTCCACCAATCTTTCCGTTGCTTAGAGAGATGTGGAAAGTTGCATGAGAAGTCTGAGGGTAGATAGAACGAAGACTCTTACGGTGAAGTCTTCTCCTTCGTTGCTACTCCACTGGTTCGAACCACACGCAGTACGTTCTCCATTTCTCTTCGTTCACATTTGCATGGTTTAGCCATCACTATGATGAGCTGAAGACGATATATATCATAGTGGATGTAGCTTTAGTGGATGTCAACAGTTTGGCAGAAGCAAGAAAAGTTGCTTTAGGTGATAAAGCTTTCGTCCAATTGATGCAGAAAGCTACCGAGTTATTGTCTTCAAGAAACTAATCGCTAGGGTTTGACGACGTCCTCGATGTAACCATGTCTCTAGCAATGCATACTCACTAGTGTTGTTGATGAGGGGTGATCAATCAGTCCGACTTGATGTGGAGTTGACTTATATCGAGACCGATATCGAATGGATTCTGAACAAGAGAGAAGAGTCAAACCTCATTAATCATCCTCACGTCTCTCTTACGTAGTCGATCCTCCTGAGAGCTTAGGTTAGGAGGATACTCTCTATGTCTTTTTCTATTGACTGAGATTTCATGAGTCGAAGTGACTCATTTGGATGGTTTTATTTTATCTGTTGATTAACATGTTTTTTTTTTTTTTTAATCTATGGAGACTCCAATATGAACTTTTCATGTAATATATGAGGAAAAGATGTGGTTGTACAGCTGCAAAGCATAAAGGTTTTCCACCTTGGAATACTTACTTCCCATTGAAGGAGAAGTTTGACATGTAAATAGATTGAGGTAGATAGATAGATAGATCCCAATAGTGTTGATGTCAACTAAACTGATGTGACCAACCAATTAGCCACAATAGGTGGAAAGATTCCAACTATTGTCATAACAGCATCATCACTTTTTTCTTATTATATATTTTTATTTAAAATGTTTGAATAATATATAACAGTTTTAATTATAAACATATAAAGATTTATTGATGAATTTTTTTAGTAAAAATAAGTGAGATTTTATATTAATTCATATTTTATATTAATTCATGTCAAGACTTAGTTTGACATGAGATAATGATAGATTATTTTATCACTAAAGTTTTGAATAATATATATTTATATTTTAATAATAATAATTTATGTTGGTAGCTAATAATTATTTTTTCTTATAGTGCCAAATCACCTGTATATCATAATTTTTAATAATAAAACTTAACCTCTATTAGTTTTGTTAGTACATTATGATAGGTCTCAAATTCAAATTCACATATGAATGTCAACCACATAAAATATTTTTATATTAAAAATAATAAAACTTAATATTAATTACTCATCTTAATATTGAAATACTCACATCTAGTAACAATAGCATACAAAATTAATAATACATATCATTAGAAAAATTACTAAGTAATACACTGAACTAATAATATATCATTAACTAGTACATCACTTGTACAGTGCTGATACATTACTACATTATTATCATGAATAAATAAATTGGATGGTTGACTCGAAAAATACTATGACAATTCAATTTAAATTGGTACTACAATAAGCACTCGGATTAGTGATTAGTGAATTGAATGTTGTAGAGTGTGATTAGGCCATGCAAATGAACCTAATCTCATCCACGGCAACAAAACCTTGAATGGTGTTGCCATCATGTGGAAATTAAAGATACGATGCCAAGGTGTTGTGGCATTACAATTTATGATAAATGCAAGTAAGAAATTTGTGGCAATATGAGCAAAATTATCCCTCGTAGGTTTTTATTCATCTTATGTTTTAGTAGTTGTTTGATGTCCATCTTACTTTAGGCTTTTAGGATGAAGATAGGATTTGATTCGAAGACCTTACTATGTTCCTTATCATCATTAGAATTCGAAAGAGATGTTGTTTGTAGTAATTAGGAACGATATGAATATATATTGGGTGAATAAAATCGAATACTTTGTTCAAACTTGGGTCAAAGATTTCAATTTTATGGATATACAACCTATTAGACCAGAAATAGGAATTGGGAAATCATATTCCCTAAGTTAAATTAAATGCAACTTATCTTTGCTTTTATTATTTTTATGTATATGTTATTGATTTCAATGGGATTGAGTCGAACCCGAGTCGAGCACAAAGGAATCGTGTGAGTTGGACTTGATGGGTATGAGTCAAACAGATTTATGTTGACCTAATGTTGACCCGGTCGAACGCAGCTTATTTGGTCAACTTACATGATGCAAATAATTAGCACTTATTGCAAGCATTGAGCTCAATTGCTCTTCGGATCGAACCCGAATGCGATTGGGTTCGACCTATTTCTAATTTTGGGACCCGAAGCACGACAACAGTATTGGAAGCCCAAATAAATCCATCACCTTGCGACCGCAGAGCAACTCGTTCCCGGCGGAGAGTCTCTGTCTCTTGAGATACGACGCGTCGAATCCAAAGCCAAAGGCACGATCTTTCCTGCAATTCTCCGGCGAATCCATTCGTGTTGCCTTCTTCCGGCCTCTTGTCTCCGCCGTTTATTGCACTCGGTTTGATACGTTCATGGTTTTGTCGCACGCGTTCCCCTCTGACCTGTTCGACGAATTCTCCCTGAGAAAAATCTTATGTTTTTGGCCGGCCGGTGCAATGTGCACCTCCCAGAAACCGGCCGCTTCTTCTCTCGCTTCGTTCCCACGAGCCCAATCAGCCTCTTCGATGCTCGGCTCGCTTCTGCAGGACGTGGGTTTGCATCAGAGTCCCGCAACAAATTGTCGGCTAGGTTTAAGTCGCCGACGCATGCGTTCTTGGAGTCTTCTTGTAGGCTTCGAAGAGTTCTGGAATCCAGTAAGTGGTCGGAGTCGACGGAGATAGAGTTGCAGAGGCTCAACATTGAGTTGAATACATACATCGCTAACCAGGTATTAAAGAGCCTGTCGGATTCTTACATGGCCTACCGTTTTTATCTGTGGGCCGAATCCCAGCCAGGTTTCCAGCACGATCACTTCACCATCAAGACTATGATCTCTTTGGCGTTGAAAGATCAAAACTTTGGTATCTTTTCAGAGGTTTTAAGAGGAATAAGGTTGAAGGGTCACTCCTTGCACCGTTCTATTTATCGGATTACTATTTCAGGTTGCGTCCGGTCAGGCCAGATCAAGTTCGCAATCCGTACATTTGAAGCTATGATTGCATCAGGCTGCCGCATGTTTGATGTGGACTTTAATAGGTTTATGGGTGTACTAGTTCGAAATAATTGTTTTGATCTTGCTGAGAAGTGCTATTATAGGATGACCTCAAAGGGATTTTCTTTGAGCTCGTTTACTTATTCAAGACTCATCTGTGGTCTGTGTCAAGCAAATAATCTTCTCTTTGTTGAGAAGCTTTGGAGAGATATGGATAAGATAGGTTGTGTCCCAGACATCTGGGCATACAACATATATTTGAATTGCTTATGCAAGCAGAACAAGATGGAAGATTCTTTGGATGTTTTGCAGTCAATGATCCAGAAAGGAAGAGAGCCTGATGTTGTTACTTACACGACAATCATTAATGGATTTTGTAATGCTAGACATTTCTCTGCTGCCTTAGAGATCTGGGATGAAATGTTGAAAAGGGGCTTCAAGCTAGATGTTATTAACTGTGGTACATTAGTTTGTGGTTTGTCCGCTAATGGGAAGGTTGACGAAGCTTATGAACTAATGTTGGAAATGATAAAGATGAACATTGAGCTAAACACTCGGTTATACAATGCTATTATAGGTGGGTTCTGCAGAGCTGGCCAGTTTGCTAAGGCCCAAGTGATAGTGTCTTTCATGCAAAGAAATGGATGCAAGCCTGACTTGGTTACTTGTAACATACTCCTGAATCATTACTGCGATCGATTTATGTTGAATGAAGCAGGTAACTTAATGAAAAGGATGGAAATGAGTGGGATAAGTCCAGACAGGTGTAGTTATAATCAACTATTGAAAGGTCTTTGCAAGGGTAACCAGCTCGAAAAGGCATATGATTTTATTACCAGTTATATGGAGGTAAAAGGTTTGTGTGATGCAGTATCCTGCAACACTGTAATTAATGCATTTTGCAAAGTTGGGAAAATGGGAACTGCAACTAAGTTGTTCGAAGAGATGGGTCATAAAGGAATACATGCAGATGCCATTACATACAGCACTCTAATCAATGGATTCTTTAAAATTGGTGATGCTTTTAGAGCTCAGGAACTCTTTCACCTAATGCTCAAGGCTAGAGTGGTTCCAACTGTTAGTGTATATAACGTTATGGTGCACCACCTCTGTAAAGTTGGCGACATAGAAGGTGCTCGCAGATATTTTCTTGACATGACTGAAAAACGGATCTCCCCTGATATAGTTTCCTATTCCAGTCTTATAAATGGGTTGCTGAAAGGATCAAGAATAAATGAAGCCATGAAGCTATATGACGACATGTGCAAAAATGGAGTGACTCCTGATGAATTGACATACAAATTACTGATTGGAGGACTTCTGAAGGGAGGAAAGTTTATCCTAGCTTGTAGAATTTGGGACCAGATGATGGAAAAGGGCTTTACTCTTGACAGAGCTCTTTCTGAAAGACTGATTGCTGCAATTAAGTCCAAGGACACAAATAGAGAAGGTATTGGTTATAACATTTGTGAACTTAATAATTAAGTCTCAACTAACAAATCTAATTAATATTTCTTGTTTTTCTGTGCAGAAGGTGAGAAACTTCGATCTTAATTGAGCAGAACAAAGTTTGTTGGTAATACTCCAGGTTCACGAAAATTCACAAGCAGGACCTCTATACCTCTTAGAAGTGGTCAGGATCAAGGATGCTGATCAGGTCCAATCTCTCAGCTTTTCTAAATAACATGACATATAACTTGTCATAAAGAAGTATCTAGAGATTTACTACTAAATGCACCCTCTGAATATCATTTTTTTTTACATGTACTGTGTCACAGTACTCCAAATTCATGTCTATTAGCAGCATGCTAAGTAGAAAAATAACTGCACCTTGAAATTGGATCAGAAAATTTCACACATAAATTATACAATTTCTTGTGGCCTTTTAGATTGCGATGCCTGTTTTATTTTGGTACAATAACAAGTGAAGAATTGCAGCTACATTGGTGCTTGATGACCTTGCTGTCTGCTCATTCTCCTCAAATCATTTATTAAAGGACAATATAGCATATTTTACCAGGAATGTGACTGCTTTTTTAAGGATCTTTTGCCTACTGATGCTACTAATTTGAAATTATATTTGCAACAAAAAAATCAAATTCCCTTCTTTGTGTGTGATTCATATAATCATCCAGCTGTGATCATGTTGAGTACTCGAGGATATACAGCAAAATGTTCTCGCTTTTAATTATAAGGTTTTTAATTATAATATCACCAATTTTATTCTAGATTGCAGTTAAATGAGAAACCATTTCACTTAATGTCTTAGACATTGTATCATTTGGTCAACATTGATGCTTAAGAAAAGTTAATACCAAGTGATATCATGTTCATGTAAACGAATGACTTAAAGTTATCATTTGGATTAAGCTTCGATATTGCTCTGCTGCACTAATCATGAATTATATGGTAGGTCTACAAGTGATGTCACATGATTTGTCCAATTGGTTACTTAAACAAGGAACTTTTCCTAGTATAGTTATCATTATCTATGAGCTAGATTGTATGTGGAAGGGCTAAAAAGATTCCAAAAGTGTCCATAACCAGACATGACCTTGCAATATTTGGTGCAGTTTCCTAGTAAGGAAACTTTTGATTGGGGGACAGGCCTGCCATAGGTTATTTAGTGATCAGAGAAACTTGATTTAGTTATTGCGGTATAAGGCCGTGCATATGGTGAGCATACTTCAGATTCAGGCACAAAATCTAAACTTGTGAGTTACATCAAAACACAACCCAGACAGTCCTTTTTTTTATTTCTGTGTTTTAAATCACTGCTTAGTTTGATCTTAAGGGTTAGTACTTGGTGTTATGCTGAGGTTGTTGCATTGCAATATCATTTTCAAGGATTCTTATCATAAAAATAAACTTTTTTCATGCAGATGCAAGTCTTCTTAAGTATTGTCATTCCCTAGCTCCTCATTGGTGGGAGCCTTCTAAGCAATCCTTCTTTATTTTTTAGGAAAAACTATGATTTTCTTCTTGCAATTTCATGTCCAAACTATTCCACCTTGAGATCTTGTGGTACTTAAGGAACTAAGAATGACATGCACACTCAATAAAGAATTTTGCTTTGGACGCAATCCCTTGCTCCCTCAAAGAATATGAACCTTTTAAATTTGAAAGAGTGACATGCATAGCCACAACCTTCTTGCGAAAAAAGATCCAAAAGTCTTTTATTTTAGGAATTCAGCTTTGCTATATCTTATTATGTAATAAGACAAAAAATGATTCGAGGTAGGCTTAGCAAATTGATGGCTCTTGCTCCAGACAACTTTATTTTCTTTTAGTTTCTTGCTTAATATTCTTTGGAACAATATCCTAACCAGGTTTTGAATATCGATCCGTATCGACGTACTGAGCTCGGATCGGTACAGAATGTATCGATATATACCATCGGTACGCTAGGGCGTACCAATGGTACACCTTAAAATCTTAAAAATACTTTCACCTACCACACCATGGCGTACCGATCGGTATGCTTCGGTAATGGTCGAAATCCGGGGCGGTACCGAGACGTATCGCGTACTGACGGTACACCCTAAAACCTTAAAAATACTTTCACCTACCACGCTAGGGTGTACCGATCGATTTACCTCGGTAACGGTCGAAATCCGAGGCAGTACCAGTCGATATGCGTCGGTACCGATTAAAACACTAGTACTGCCCGGTAGAGGATGGTCCGCGTACCGGTATCCTCTCGGACCGGTATGTACTGCTCGTACCGCGGGCAGTACACATCGAAATTGAGAACTCTGATCCTAACCTGAACCAAATCCATCTAGTTCTTGATCTTATACTTAGCAACTCCTCAAACTCTAGGTCTAGATGGAAGTTATTTGTGCTTAATATAACTGATTACTGTGATCATCCTAAACTATATAAGTCTTCTTTTTGACATGCATATTGATTCTTCATTGTAGATAAAATTATAAAAAATAGGCATTCAAGCTGATTTCTGAGTTTGTAGGAATGATGCTGAAGACTATTGATGAATTGGAGAATCTATATCCAACATGTTTCACGCAACAATTAGCCACATCAGGTAAGATTCTTATGGTTAAATCTCATTATTCAACTGGGAAGCTATTTAAATCTTTCTGTTTATCCTATCATAACTATATCAATTTTCCTTGGGGACAAACTTCTGTAACTTGCAGACTGGATCTGATGTTAATTTTTCATGCCTTTTTCAGTAAATTTCTTGCACATACATATATGTGCACTAGAATGGAAAATAAAGTTTTTATTGAAATCTGTAGTTTGCTACTACAAAATGTTGTATATCGAAAACTAAGCTATTAGAGAGAGGTTTTTACAGACTTCAAATGATTTTTCTGAGCATCATACATATAGACATGATTGTAAGAAGCCAAACTGATACATTGTTAAGACTGCCTCACATTCCAATTTCATTCTACCCTCTTGGCACTTTTGTACATGTGCATTGGTGAAAAGATCCACTTTCACAATGGACTTCACTAACAGAATGTAATTCTACTATTCCTTATTTACAGACTAGTGCATATATAGAAGGTGAGGCACTGTATAGTCCCTCGTGTAGATCATGAAAGATTATTTATTGATATTTTTCTTCTGTGTCATTTCAGTTGTGATTTGTTTGTGATGCAGGGAGGATAGACTAAATATCCTGATGATGAAAGCCATTATGGTGGATGATTGTTCATAGTGGAAATATCTGCCCTCTTAAATAATCCAAGATGATCCCATCCACAGACTGCATTACAACATATCAACCAATATGATGATGGGACCCAGTGTATCGACATATCAGATGATGCATTTTATGAGAAGATGATCTGTATCTGAAGAGTCAATTCCTGCCATCAAACAATCGGCTGGTAGTTCTGAAGGGAGGACTGAATTTAGCGCACAACATTCTTATGCTAAGATGGAATAACTTGTTTATCATCTAGATGTCACAAGAGCAACATCACCATGAAGGCAATCAGAACTTTACAGGAATAAGAAAGGGCCCCTTGTAAATACTCTGAACAATAATTTTTATTATTATTTATTATTTCAGAAGGTGGCTACTGACACTTTTCTATTTGTTTGTGGACATATTATTGCTTCAGCCTGCTATTGCAACAAAGATCAGAAAGGTTCCCCTGAAGAATGCCACATTCTTCAGTCTCAAAATGCTCTTCTGCATTAGATTTATGAGACTTCAAAACGCATTCAACAAAAAGTATTCTTTGTACTCCGCAGAGTGAGTTTATGTGATTTCCATACTTTTATGC